ACTCTAGAATCTAGATATTGCTAACGTTTCCCATAGACATCGCCTCTTACGACACCCACGGCACGAAACGGAGTGATGGATTCTCTTAACGCGCCACCACGCAGCATATTTAGGGACTACCATAATTTTAAAAAAATATTTAAGAGCCGTGGTAGCTCAGGAGCTAAGTGCTCGCTGTAAATTTCAAAGAACGCGATTAATCCAATGTTTTAATTGCTCATTTACCACGTGCTCGGCGGTAATGGAAAACACCCTGACGAAACCTGCATGGTGTCTGAGATAAAATAAATATTTCAAAGACGTGAAGTCTGCCAACACGCATTTGGGCAGCGGCCGGACACTTCCATGCCCTAAAGCCCTCTCAGAAATGGAGAGGAGCCCTGTGCCCAGAGGAAGGACTTATTAATTACTGCTTAATAAACATTAAAACACTAATTAAACTATGAAACATGTATAGATACTAGGCTATGAAACAAAGCACAAGCATAATATTTGCGTAAGTAGTTATAAATTTATTTGTATAAAGTATATTTGTAGGGCGACCCCCCACGAGATTGAGTGATCTGGTAAGACATGCAGGAAGTCGATGGATGCAGGTGGCTCAGGACCGTGCTTTGTGGCATTCCTTGGGGGAGGCATATGTTCAGCAGTGGACTTGTGAAAAGCTGTAATGAAAGTATATTTAGTTATATTTATATTATTAACTACAACTGTAATAATATACTAGTGTATCTAAATAACGAAAAAATTATCCGTTAACACGTCGAAATGAAGGTCATCGCAACATCTGAGTATTGACTGTAACTATAATATATAAAGACTATTTCTCTCATAATAATATTGTGAGTACCTACGTAAACAACAGAAATATGTAATATTATGTAGATTAATACACTGTAAGGGGGGCGGGCAGCTTTGATATATTATCTAATGTGTTATGTATGCACTTTGAATTTAATATCTGCATACAGTGGAATTATTTTCACATAGGTATCATCTTTAGCTTCTAGTTTTTTCTGCGTGAAGATTTGTCATCTACCCTAAAAAATTTGTAGATGTTTTGATATGAATATGTACAACATAATACATTATTTTGCTATGTTCTCAATAAAGGTTACACTTGCACTAGTTTACCGATAAGATGTTATATTGAAAAAGTAAACTAATGAGCCAAAATAAATCTCTCCTTACACAAATAAACTCTCCGGTACCGAGAACCCCATGATTGCCAATGGGTCATCAACCTGCTCATCTTGGCCCTCAGTCGCACCGGCATAATCAACGAAAATTATTATCATATGTGCCGTAGGCTGATTCTACGTCAGTGTGCGTTTAAACTTTGTGATGACGATACACGCGCTGTTCTGCTAATAAAATTCTAAATAATTAGTAACTCGCTAACATGTGCTGTGTGATCCAGTGGACATATCTACGGAAAACTATTATAGTGTTTTGATACAGTAGCCATTAGTTATTCTAACCCAAGTTCAGTCGTAAAAAAATGAAGCGTTCGAAAAAGAGTGATAAAATAACCAAGTTCAAACACAAATTGATAAAGAAAAGCAAAATAAGTAGGTACATGGCTCCTTTTTCGTTGTGAAATGGAATAATAATTTACAGTTGTTCTGAAAACGTTAAATTTTCAAACATGACTTAATTACACGCAAAATTATAACATTCTTCAAGTGTTTTAAGGATTAAAATTAAAGTGCGAATTTATAAAGAGTAGCTCGTGATATCTCAAGCAGAAACGTGGTCGCCTCGACGCCCACTCGTGACTTCAAGGTCTCTAATCACTTAATTTGTTCTCCGTTCCGAGCAATATTACACAATTTCGTAGAACATTTCTACTATAATTGATAATATCCATTACCAACGCCTTGCACCACACTGTAGCTATTTTCTGCAGACTTCCAAAAAGGAGACGATACTCTATTCAACTGTATGTTTTTTTTTAAATGTGTGTTACCTCATAACTTTTTACTGGGTGAACCGATTTCGATCATTCTTTTTTTATTTGAAAGCTGGTACTTCTCGTGTGGTCCCATATGAATTTGATCAAGGTCAGACCAATAGTTTTTGGCGGCTGTACAAAATTTTAAATTTTAAATTATATTTTTATAAATTTGTTACATCTATCTTAAACTAACACGTATTAACTTGTTCGCCGTTTAGTGGCGGTGAAAAAAATCTACCAGCCCATATCAGCCCGTGGGTGTCGTAAGAGGCACAAGGTAAATGAAACGGGGTGGGCAGCAGCATCTTCCTGAAAACAACTCAAAATAATTAAAAACTGCAATTGCCAATAATAGTGGCAATAATGATAAATATCCCCCCTATAAGGCAATTTGTAAGGGAGTTCTTTGTTCAGCAGCGGTTAGTTTTTTAGTTGTTTTACTTTTGATAGGCTGTTAAGAATTAATGAATGAATGCAAAGAAGTTCATTTAGTAACACATTACAATTGGCTTACAACAATAACACATTTACTTAGTAAATGGTTACTAAAAAGGTACCTAACTCGGCATACCTCGTATTGATACTGCTAAAGCACTTCGACACTGATCTGTGGGTGCCAAACATACAAAGGCTTACTTCCAACAAACATGCATAAACCTAAACATATACATTTTATGCACGCATTATTAAAAAAAATATATAAAATTACGTGTCACATTGTTTGTCCGAGATGAACTCCCTAAACTACTGAACTGATTTAATGAAATTTCGCAAACTGTGCAGTTTGGTCCAACTTCAAATGGGCAGAGCAACTGCCAGCTATAGAACTATATAAAATTTAAAAGAAACAGAATAAAGGAATAACTAATTCCCGTAAATGAGCATAAAATAATTTCATTCATTCAAAAGTCAACATAATGTAAAATGTACACCGAGTTTACGCACTAAACTCACTTATGAGAGTTCGTTTCAGAAGAAAATTGTTGCGAAACTATTATTTTATATTAACATTTTATTTCAGTTAAGTTTAAAAGCAATTAATTTTAAGTTAATAAAAGTATATGCCATGTAGTGATTGCGTAAGAGAATCCATTACCCTATAGGTCATTCCTTAGTATCATTCCTTAGCTATTGTAAGTGGCGACAGAGCGAAATTAAACAGGAGATTGGCGGTTACTTCCTGATAACAACCGAAAACAATAAATAACTGCGGTTGCCAATCCGCCTTACCAGCGTGGAGTCTATCGCAAATATTTTATGTGGCAATATATGGGAAACTGCATGTCCAGCCGTGGACTTTCTGATTCTAATGAAAGAAAAATTAAAAATAAAATGTATTAATATAATCTGAAATTTAGGTTCGTTTTTAGTCTGTGATTGGGCTTACGTCAAATGCTTGCTTGTTAATTAACTATATGTAAAGAAAATGTTTATATTCCTTAAAAAACTGCTCGAATTTATATCTCATGGATAAGAAACTTCTTCAACTACACGTTGATTATCACTTTGAGTACCTACATTAGAATCCAAAATATTACGTATGTTGCAATCCTAAAATATTGAAGGTAGTAAGGTAGTAAGCCTAAGTGGTCACATTTAGGCTTACTGAAATGACAATACATATAGGTAAAACGCAATGAAGACGGTGTGATGCAAGATATATTACTTGCTCGTATTCGCCTTGAATTATCGATATAAAACTTATGCTATGAAATTCAAGGAGGGTTCGGATACATTATCATTAAGAGTATTAGACTCTAAAAACAACAGTTCAAAATAAATCAAACTAACAAAAACTTTATTGTTCTAACCATAAAGGTTACAAAGGGCGGACTTAATGCCAGTTAGCATTCTCTGCCAGTCAACCCATGGCGGGGTGAGAAATTAGTGGCAGGTGACTTTAACTAAATATAATAAATTTATATAGATATAACACATTAAAATAAGGCTTGTAAATTACACCAATACAAAAAAAAATCATAATAATCCTTAATTGTTGAATACTGTCCGGAATCTAGAGAAAATTTTATAATATGCGTTACAGCTGGTAGAAGATACTCTAAGATGTTAACTATCATATCTCTATACACATCATTCAAAGTACTAAACGCGAAAAACAACAGTAAATCAAACCAAAGAAACAACTTGGTAGGGTAGAACGCAGTTTATATAATATGCAACGTTTGTTACGTACAGTGATTCAAGGGCTAAGTTAGTAACACAGCATCCACGTACCATAAGGTGGACTGTGTGCTCGTTGACATCCGTATTCTATAATAAAAAAAACAAGTCAAATGGGTAATTCCTAGAAGCTATAAAATTATGCGGAAATCTTATTTTTCTTTCTAGTCTTTATAAGTTCTTTTTTTACTTTTTTAAAGTAAAATTTTTATATGTTATTACATCCAATCTCTATATGAACCAATATAAATAACGAAGATCTTCTATTTTATTATATAATCTTTGGCCGTGGCTCAAGTAACCTAATCTTATTTTAGCGTTTGTTCTAAACAACTCCGTAAACAATGAACAAATAATTGTAGTGGCAATTACTCAAAGCAGCGTTGCATGTTTGAACATATAGTGAAGGGCACTGGACAGTCGTGCTGATTTCCCAATTGCTATTTGAATGTACCGATTTAGCAACTGTCACCGTCTCATACCATTACAGCTTTGTTTCATCATCAAATAAGATTTTAGTTTTTCCTTATTAACTATCCAGTATTTACAATTTATCGAAGCTTGAAATTACATTTTATTAAACTAAAACTATACATAACAATCAGCAGATATAAAAATAAAATCATTTAATTCTTTTTATCTGCTGATTTCCGTGTCCTTGTAGCCCTGTAAAATTAAGTGCTGACGTTTTGTGGTGCCTTAGCTAATTTAATGTTACCATTAGTAAAAAAAACGTTCTGTCACTATATTTTATTTTAATGAAACTACATTTGAAACACAAGAGTCATAAACAAAAGTAATTTTATCAAGCTTTTTAAATGTTTTAATCGTTACATTATATTATAATGAACATTTGTTTCAGATGAGCACCGATCGGCGGGCGGCAGCTGGGAGGAGCCGGTGAGCGCGGTGCGAAACACACCGCTGCGTCGCTCACAAAGGCTCAACTCCACCCTGGATTCCAGGTTAGTACCGGTGGTTCATTTCGCAGACTAGGCAGGTTCTCTTTAAGTGCATTCAACACTTAAAGTTCTTAATTTATTATAATATCTATATCTATATTATACCAATGGTCTCTCAACACTTACTAGAGTATTGATGGACATAATTGTTACTTTATTACGATTCCTTTATGATTCTTATTAAAACCCGAGACGATATTTTTGCTAAAATACATATTAATTTTTGAACCTATTCAATTATAAAACCTATATTATATACATAGTATAATCTAACAGATTCTAGTAAATTACACACAGTTACTGGTTTTTCACACATTTGAATTCACCTATCTGGGTGGATATTTTATAATTAATCACACAGGGTGTTTCAGCCACATGCACCTTGACATTTTCTGGCATTTCCCATTAAGTCGCCTCTTACGAAAGTCATAGGGCGAAATGAATTACGTAAATGTTAGGCAATTATTATTATCCTAAATTTGTTTAATACCAGTGGTTGCCAAGAGGCCGTAATTCGACCCTCATTAATAGACATTAACAAATAAAACAATATGTATACAAAATATCAGATAGAAACGTTTTGCCTTATTGCTTAACAAGTGTTTGATATTGACCTTAGATCAATAACATAATAATATAGTACTTTCTGGTGGTACTTTCTCTGGCAGTATGAACGTAAACAATATAAATATGTTTTATTTAATTTAATATATTTGTAACACATATTATAAATAAATTTTAGCTTTCTGCACTCCTTTTCCATAAAATTAACTATGTCAAATCTCATATTCCTCCGCGCGCGAAATTGCTTAAAAGGGGTATAATTTTTTCACTTAACCTATTAATAAATAAATATTGGTTAGGTATATTAAACAAAATAAATGTGCCTATAACTTAAATTAAAAATTAAAAAAACTTATGATTTTTTTGAATTTTATTTTTGGTTGATGATCTTCAAATGGTTGAAAAGATTTTCTAAAATCATAACTAAGAACAGCCTCGATCAAGTCACCTTAAACAAAAAAAACCTGAATCTAAATCTGTTCATCCGTTTGGGAGTGACGATGCCACAGACAGACACGCAGATACAAAGATACATACACATTAAACATATACCACCCCTCTGTTTTAGGTCGGGGGTTAAATGTACAGATGGTAAAGCATAATAGGTATTAAATATGCATTAATGAAATATTTTGCAAAATTTACAACCAGCATTGCGATAATGGCAGGTTGGATATAAATCATTAGCCTACGACTTTGGGCTTCTATAATTTGTTCGTATAATGTGACCTAAGGATCAAGTTATTAATAATTTACGCCTGACTTAGCTCTGAACTATAATTATCGTGTTTATTGGAAATTGTATTGCATAACCAGGATCTGCGTAGGTGTCGCTTAAGTCACTAATTAATATTATGACGAATTCAACTAGAAAATACGTTGATGACAACGACGGGACATTCAAAATCATATATACAAGAGCTGATATTTCACGGCGGTTATGGTTTACCGCGATGCAGTTATCCTGTTAGTAGACATTTGCAACGATTTGACGTGCATGAAACCTGTGTATCTGGGAAATAAGGAAAAAATATTTCGAAGATATGTGAAGTTCCCCAACACGCAGCGCGGCGGACATTTACTAGCCCTAAAACCCTCTTAGAAATGAAAGGAGGACTGTGTCTAGCAATGGAATGTATATAGGTGTAACTTTAACTTTGGCAATTATTGCTTCGATATTGGAACCGCTTGCTACCCTTCAGCAATCAGTCCACGTAAGGCATGATACCTTGCAAGTCTTTATGCTTGTGCGCCGTGTTTGCCTTTTTTCGGTCAATAAACCAAATTTTTTGTAATGAAATGTATAGATCCATAGATAATCGAAATACTTAAACAAAATTAGATAATGATGATGATATTTTAGACAACAGTCAAATTTATGTTACTGTTGCTACTATTGAAAATACTACAATTTCGTTCCTTTATACTTACGTTACAATATTAAAAGGACGTCCCGCACGTCAGTTACTAAGTGAGATTGATTGTGATCCCGAAATTAGAATCAATTCCCATTTAGAAGGGGGAGTTCACTACTTTGTGAAACAAATCTTGCTTAAAATCTATATCTATACAAATAAATAAACATATTTTCACTAAATGCATATGAAAGTATATGTACGGTACCAAAAAAAATATTTTAATTTTTTTTGTCTGTCTGTTTGTTCCGGTTAATCTCCGAAATGACTGGACTTATTTTGACGGGACTTTATTTGGCAGATAGCTGATGATATAACGAGTAATTTAAAGGCTACTTTTATTTTTTTTAAAAATCGCTTCCGTGCAAAACAATTAAAACCCATGAAATCCAATCGTAATAAATTCAACGCGGACGAAATCGTGGGAAGCTGCCATTAAGAAATTAAAGAGGACGGCTGTGTTATTATCTTAAGTTATTATTATCATAAGTTTCCAACATATATTTGGTAAAATCACTTTGGTATATTTATATTTTGTATATTATCGTTTTAATTTAGGTTCACTAATGCGATGAATAAACAAAATACAAAAATGGTTGCGACCCGGGGGTTCCTTCTCTGTGGACTACAAACTTCTCCGCATCAAGTGACAAAAATTTAAAATAGAACAAGTGGTAAAATTAAAAATTTTGTACAATCGACTTCAATATAAATAAAATGAAAACGTCATCATTGTAGTCGAAGTCAATTAAATACGCATTATTAAGGATAACTCAAAAACTACTGGTCAGATCTTGATCAAATTTATATGGGACCACATGAAAAGCTTTCAAATAAAAAAAAATCGTCTAGAAAAAAGTTCTGAGGTAACACACATAAAAAATACAGTCGAATTGTGAGTACCTTCCCTTTTTTGAAGTCGGTTAAAAAATAAATACCATTGAAATTTTACTTATTAATCTTCAGTTAATTTATTCGTAAAATACTGCTGGACCGATTTTCATGCAAACTCATTTACATTCTAATACTGTGCATGGAATGTAACCAGTGCGACGCGACGTCGATATCTTGTTTAATCATTATTTTGTTCTCTACATTAGGCGAGGAGAAAAGGAATTCGTACCTAATACAAAGGCTATTTTGAATAATTTTAGCAGTTTTAATTGGCTTTTTTTTAAATTATTACTACGCACTAGCGATCCACCCGGCTTCGCACGTGATTTCTGGATCTCGACAACAGCACCACCTACCGGGTCCACTCAAACACACAAAATTTCATTAAAATCGGTCCAGCCGTTTGAGGATTTCAGGTGCAAACACACGTACAGAGGAATTATATATATAAAGATAATTTTACACATTAACATGTAAGCTACCTTTATTTGAATAACGTTATCAAACTATTATCTTACTTTTGATTACCACATTCTTATTAAGTCACTTTCTTGTTTGTCTGTCGTTCCGGGTGGAATTTAGTAATTCATTTTAAACTAACTTTCCTATGAGCTGGAAACTTGAATATTTGAATATATATCGAATTCGGATGACAATGCAAGAATATGACAAAAAAGTTGAAATTTTGTTTAATTAAAAAAAAATTACTTGTTACCTAATAATGTAAATGATGATTTAGAAGGGGTAATTATTTGAAAAGAATATTCCTGTTTAAACGAATATCCATTAGTGTCAGGGTTAGTTATTTAAAGAGTGACAAAGTTATACCCCTATCGAAAATACTTCCACTCTGAATCCTGATCCTCATTGTCGCAACTAACATTAGATACATAGTATTATACTTCCTCCCGGCGCTACGGTGTGGTCCCCGTCGTGCATTTAGCGAGCGCGCGGCGCACCCAATTAACACAAATTTCCTGTGTTCACAACTGCGCACGCCTGTAGAGGACACTGCCTTCGCGTGCAATGATCCTTACAAATTAACACGCGCTTTTGATGTTTTATTTTGGCTACAATGTTATTTTCTGTTCACTTTGGACGTACAAAATTTATAATCCTTCCCAATTTTTGAAGCTTTTCGCCTGTCTCAAAAAGATACTATAAATCCTTAACGTCATCATAACACAGGGTTGCTGGATGTAAAGCCGATTCCCTTGCTATGTTGCCACTGTTCTCCATTAGCAGTCGGTTTCCAAAGCCTTTCCCATCGAAATAAACACTTGGTGAACATGGTAGCGTATTCCCTTATACACCCTTGAATAATTCAGGTAGGATAATTGACCTGCAATTAGGTGACACGAGCCTGTATAATTACAACCTATAAAACCATCCTAAAATTCCATCTTAGTCCTCGAAGGTGACACCGCATCTGTAGTCTGCTTGATTTAAAGTTGACTGCAGGTGTCCAGGGACAGCAGTAGCCAGTAAAAGGTACAGTAGGACAGTAGGGATGTAAAAACGTTTGTCACATCGTTCTGAATACAATTACATGTCTATATAAGCCAACCAATACAAGGGTTATTGTTAAACGCATTGTTTCGTTAATAATAGTAATCAATAGTAGACAATCATAGTAATACAATAAAACCCTTTGCTAATCTTTGTTTAGATGCTGCAATCATCATTCGTTTATGTTTATAAAACAATAGATAGTTTAATTGTTTAAACTAGTGAGAGAATAAAAATAGCTGTATTATTTACCAGGCAAACATAAACACTGCGCGACGGGTATCTTTAGTCAAACAGCCGTTGTAAATTGTGACATTACGAAGATACTAAAAGAATGTCAAGGATGAGGCCACCGAGTCAACAATTTGCATGTTCGTTAGTGATAATAATAAATAATTCACTGTACTTGGACAGAGTAATTATTCTGGCCCCTATTGTTAATGTTACCTCACGCTTGACTTCATAATAGATGCTTCCTCGTGTTGTGTATAAACTTTTTATAAATTAGCAGGGAGTAACTTTTCTGTCACCTACTACTAAATTCAATGACATTCTTATTACAATACAGTGACTAAATAATGTCTACCTAAGTGTATATCTTCCAAATAAATTAAATTCTAC